TAGGACTTCTAAGCCTTAAAAAAGTATATGGTCGTCTTAACATTGGTTTAATTCCTGACAGTATCCTAAAGGCAACTTGTAAAGAAATTACTATAGAGAAGGGGGATACAGAATAAAATGCTTAAGATGCTGAGTCCTAGGATAAGTGGGATTTATAGTAAAAACGCTAAAAATCAAGGCTAAGGCCACAGAATTAGATTAGTCATAGATGCACTCAAACAGCAATCTATATTACAAAGTATATTGACATATAACATCAGTTTATAATGATTAATGATAAATATAAGCTTTTGGCTTAAATGTATTCAATAAGACTTAGGTACTGTATAGCTGTTGTTCTTTAACCTTTTATTTTTGCCACAGTCTCATTTTAGATTATGTTCCCATTATCCTTGTTGAAAGCTAAGATGCTAATGAATATGAAAAATGAAATCCTATCTGCGTAGATACCATTTAAATAAGGTATTGCTTAAATAAAAAAAGAGTGGAGAAACCCATGACAGCATAACTCAGTACTTAGTTTGTTTTAATTTTTCAAAAAGTAAACTGAAGAAGTAATCATGAAGCCTGTAGGATTTCCCCTTTTATAAAACATTTGTAGGGAAAAAGAATGATTGGATATTTTCAGCATTTAAAGCTGGTTAATTACCACACATTCTTTCCATTGTGATTGTGTAGCAATGCTGAGGTCTGGAATCATGGGAATAATTTCTGAGCTTTTTTTTCCCCCCTCTCAACTCTCAGTAGACTTTTTACTCTGTGTCTCTGATGTTGTATTATATAGCAATTCTTTATTGGTTCTCAGGCCTAGGAAATATAGAGTAATTGTCTAAGCAGAGCAAAAACTCCTTCCTCTTATAATCCAGTTACTTTAACATGTCTTCAATAATTGAAGGAAAATATATGTTGTATCTCAAAAATAGCACAGAACTAAGTTATTCTAGTTAAGAAAGTTGTGCCATTTTTTTGGAAGTTTATGTGTAATGAGTTGTAGCTAATTTTCAACTTTTTAGGAGAAGGCAACCACAACAATTAAACAAAACACCACTAATTGGTTATAAATGTGGAGAAGATGGGGCATATGTTTGTGTGTGTATGAACTACAGCATTCTTTTATGTAGTTAAATATTCTTATCTATTCTTAAAATAAAGTGGGCAGTTGGTCAGAGCGATGCTAATATAATTATTGTTTATGTATGAAACTGAAACGAATTTATTGATGACTTCTGGTGTGTATGCGAATGTTGAGAGAGTAAGTCTTTGTAAAGGATGTAAACAGAATGCTACTTGAATTTTAAAAGATTCGTTTTGGCCTTTCAGAATATCATGAAGCTAACATAAGCATTGGAGTCTATTGTAATGATAGTGAAGGAACCAACACTTAGGAGAATTACACTTTTGTTCATATTACTACCGTTGCTTCAGGTTATCCAAGTGCATATTCCTTTCTCTCATGATAAGAAAATTATGGCCCGGATTAAGTTCTGAATATATTACCGAGGAACATGCAAAAATGATGTAGATGGTAGTATTGTGATAGTGACAACAGGTTTTAGCACAGAATAGGACACATACTTGAATATCTATATATATATATATATATATATATATATACACTAGTAAAAGCCTAAGCGACCATTAGGACTGGTCGACCGGTCGCTATGATGCGCACTGACCACCAGGGGGCAGACGCTCAATGCAGGAGCTGCTCCTTGGTCATCAGTGTGGTCCTACAGCCAACCTCCCGCAGCCGGCCAACCTCCTGCCACTGCGCCCCCCCCCTACCCCCCCAACCCCTAGCCCATGGGCCCCGATTGGGACAGGGTGAGATGGATCGCCAGCCAAGGCAAGGAACCCCACCTATGCACGAATTCGTGCACCGGGCCTCTAGTATGTATATATAAAAACACATCCATTTTTCCATATGTATATGTTTCAAATTAAATTGCCTAGGAATATTGAAGTCCTCAATTCATTGCATACTTTTAATATCTTAGTGCAGAAGTATTTTGCACATCAACTGAGTTTGTGCATATTTGAATTGTATGTAGCTCTCAAAAACTTTTTAGGAAATTTTCTGAAATAACAATTTTGAACTGACTACATAATCATATTTATAGTTACAGGTATGTCTCTTGTAACTTTTTTTCCTTATATTTGTGAAGTCGAAGACAGTCAATCAATATAAGTGTTTATTAATGAACTGTTGTTCTATGTAAAAAAAGAATGGCACACTAGCCGGTTTTGCTCAATGGATAGAACACTGGCCTGTGGACTGAAGGGTCCCGGGTTGGATTCCAGTCAAGGGCACATGCCTGGGTTGCGGGCTTTATCTCCAGTAGGGGGTGTTGCAGGAGGCAGCGGATCAATGATTCTGTCTCATCGTTGATGTTTCTATCTCTTTTGCCCTCTTCCTATCTCTCTTAAATCAATAAAAGAAATAAAGAAAGATAGAAAAAAATGGCAAACTTTTCAGAATGGCTAGAAGAGACAGAATATGAGGTGGAAATGTAAGTTTGAGCCTGATTATTAAGGGACTCTAGGAGCTCTAGGGATAGATTACCAATAGCATAGTGAGAAGTTAAGCATGGGCATGCTGAAGTCAATCCTGGACAGGCTGGGTTAATGCCCTTTTTGTTCAAAACAATATGTAATTATTCTGTTGTGTAAAAATCTGAAAATATAAGGCTGTTGGGAAGGGGACAAAGGCATGACAGAAACTTCTTAAGTAAGACAAATATTTACTATGCAGAAAGATGATTATAATTTGGATGTGCTGCTAACTTCCCCCAGTTTAGACAGCCTAAACCTACTGTAGAGAGCTTTAAAGCCTGGTACAGTTATATCCCCTATTTCACTTGTCATCTAAGGCTATCTTGTTGTTTTCCTATTACTTCCTTCCCCTCCTATTCTAGGGTCCTTGGTTTTCTAATTTGGTGAATTTATGCTCTGTTCTCACTTCTTTCTTCTTATGTTTGATCTTTTGGACACCCTGTTTTAAAATTAGCTGCATTATACATCTTGAGGCACTTTACATACTGCTTATCTTTTCCCTCTAATTCTCAACCTCTCTCCCTTTTGATTTTGGTAGCAACTGTCATTCTGACTAAGAATCTTTCCTCTGGCCTTACTTTCAAACAGTGCCCATCATCTGGACTGTTTGCCTTAATGTGCTTTCTATTCCCATCATTTTAGAGGAGGAGACAGCACTAGTGACAAGTGTTGAAGATGTGATCCAGGTCTCAAACGGGCAGTTCCTTTCCATTACTCATCCTATATAATAAAGAGGGAATATGCAAATTGACCATCACTTGACCACAACAATGGCAGCGTTCACAGCAGAGGCGGGGTTTCCATAACACAAGATGGCTGCGCCCACAGTGGAGGCCGAGTTTTCGGACGGAGCCTTAATGAGCAATCAGCAGGGACTTGAGGCTGCGCCGCCCCCCCCCCCCCCCCATGGGGCCTGACAGGGGACCTCAGGCCATGCCCCTCACCCTCACGCCAGGCTGGGGGACCTCAGACCACACCCTCATCCAGCAGGGTTTGACGGGGTACCTCAGGCTGCGCCCCCTGCCCGGCAGGGCTTGACGGGGGTCCTCAGGCCATGCCCCCTACCCTGGTGCCAGGCAGGGGGACCTCAAGCCACATCCCCACGCCCTGGTGCTGGGCCATGGGACCCGAGGCTGCACCCCCTCGCCCGGTGGGGCTTGACAAGGGTGGGACCAGCCCGGTCTGGATCTAGCCCAGTGGAGGGGGGCAGCCAGGTCTGGGTCTTGCGCAATTTTGAGGCGCATGTGGGTGGACAAGGAATTGACTCTGGGTCCTGTGGTGTGCCCCAGACTCTGACAGGAGAAAGATTTTCATATACATTTTACTAATTTTCTTTTATCTCTGACACTTCTATTATAGAGAAAGGGCAAATAGCAGTATTAAAATATTTCCTCTAATTAATGTGCTCAATTTCATGCGCCAGGCCACTAGTTTCTTTTTATAGTTCTCTAACATGTAGGGTTAGATTGTTTATTGAGATTTTAATTTTTTTATTTTTAAATTCGTCTTTGTTGTTGAAAGTATTATAGATATCCCCCTTTTTTACCCAATTGATCCCCTCTCAGGACTGATTTCACTGTGTCCCATAGATTTTGGATTGTTGTGTGTTCATTTTAATTTGCTTCCAGGTAATTTTTGATTTCTTCCTTGATCTCATTGGTAACCCATTCTCTGTTTAATAACATGTTTAGCTTCCATGTGTTTGAATGTTTTTAAATTTTTTATTGTAGTTGATTTCTGGTTTCATGGCATTGTGGTTCAAGAAGATGTTTGATGTGATTTCAATCGTCTTGAATTTCTTAAGACTTATTTTATGTCTTAATGTGGCCTATCTTTGAGAGTATTCCATGTGAATTTGAGAAGAATGTATATTCTGCTACTTTGAGATGAAATATTCTGTAAATATCAATTAAATGTTTCTGATCTAGTGTGTCGTTTAAAGTTGTTGTTTCCTTCTTGATTTCTTGTCTGGAAGATCTATCCAGTGATGACAGTGGGGTGTTTAATTGCCCTGCTGTGACTGTGTTGATGTCAATCTCTCCCTTAAAGTCCACCAAGAGTCTTTTTTTTTTTTTTTTTTTTTAACATATTTAGGTGCTCCTGTTTTGGGTACATATATGTTTACCAGGGTTATATTCTCTTGTTGGATCAATCCCTTTAGTATTATATAGTGAAGCTTTGTCTCTTACTGTGGCCTTTGTTTTAAAGTCTATTTTGTTAGATATAAGTATTATTACCCCGACTTTTTGTTGTTATTTGCATTTGCATGGAATATTTTTCTTTCATCCCTTTGCTTTCAACTTGTGTGAATCTTTTGTTCTAAGGTTGGTCTCTTGTAGACAGCATATATGTGGGTCATGTTTTCTTTTTCTTTTTTTTCTTTTTTTTACCTAGAAAAACTTTAATTCCAGAGCAGAAACTGCTTGGGCTCCTCCCCCCATTCTCACATGGCAGGCAGGCACACTCGCCCACCCGCCCCAAGACCCGGCCCAGAGGGACTGCCCAGCCAAAAGGTGTTCTTGATGGGGGCTGCACCAGCATGAAGATCTCCCCGATCTTCCTCTGCCAGTTGGCGATGTCCTTGGACACGGCGCACCACAGCTCCCGGTGCCGTGGCTCCAGGTTCTCGTAGCACCTCCTCACCTCCTCCCGCTGCTCCTTTGTGCTGTGCTGCAGCTCAAACTTGTAGAAGCGGGCCCAGGCGTCCCCCAGGTCTGAGTCGATCTTCACGGTGCGGTGGAACCACTCCCTGGCCTTGGTGATCTTCCGCTCCCTCCAGAACAGCTTGGCCACGGCCAGGAGCACATGGGGGTCGTGCTCACATTTCTTCAGGGCATCGACACTCTTGGTCTTCCTCTGGGGCCTGGCCTCCAGGAAGATGGCTTCAGACCACAGGACACCGGAGCTGGGGCACTCCTGCAGCGCCTTGGCCATGAGCGTGTTGGTGATGTTCTTTAGCCCCGCACAGTACTCCAGCCTCACGGACTCCAACCACAGCCCGGGGTTCTTTGGGTTCTTCAGGCGAGACTTTTCCAAGTGGCCCGAGCTCGGGTCAGCTGCCCGATCTTCTTCTCCAGCCAGGAAAGCAAAAGCCACAGGGCTGTGGAGCCGGGACATTTCTTCAGCCCCTGGCTATAGGCCTCTCGAGCCTTGTCCGTCTGCTCCTCCTGCTCCTCGATCTGCCCCTTCATCATCCACAGCTTGGGGAAGTCCTCGTAGTGCTTCAGGCCCTCCTCGCACAGCTCCTGGGCGGCCTCAGTGTTCCCCAGCACCCATTCCAGCTTCGCAGACTTCATGAACACCCGGGCAGTGGGTGCGCTGCTCCGAGCCTTGGCCAGCAGCTGCCGGGCCCGTTCATACTCGTTCTCCGATTCCAGCTTCACGGCCGCCAGCCAGATCTCCTCACTGTTGGCGTTAGCCTGGAAGGCCAGAGCCAGGATGCTCCTTGCCGCAGGCACATCGCCTGCCAGCCACTTGGACTTGGCACCCATGAGCCACAGCACCTCCGCTTTGGGGCAATGGGCCACGGCCCTCTGCAGAAGCGCTTCCAGGGACTCCCTGGTGCCATGGTTCTTCTCAAAGTAGGCGGCTCACAGCCACACCCTCTTCTTGCTAGGGAACACCTGCAGCGCGTAGGCATAGATGGCTCGTGCACACTCCAGGGCATTGTGGGCCACACAACTGTCGGCGTCTTCCATCCAGGTGTGCTTCCGGTCCTCCTCCTCGATCCCAATGCCAATCACAGCTCGCATGACCGCCTGGCAGGTGGCCACACTGCCTGCCTTGTCACACTCCTGGGCATCCTGGATCCACTACTCACGTCATGGTATTGTTCATTTTCAACTGGTTCTAATTCATGGCTTCTGTGTCCTTTTTCATGATGTTGTAGTTCTCACTTAAATTCTTTGTAATACTAAGTTATTTGAGCATCCTAGTAACTATTATATTAAACTTTATATCTGATAAATTGATTGCCTCCATTTCATTTACCTCTTTTTGTAGATATTCCTTCTGTTTTTCATTTGGGCCTTATTTGTATCCCAATTGTAGCTGTCTCTTTGTGTTTGTTTTTAAGTATTAGATAGAAATGCTATGATTCCCAGTTTTCTTGGTGTGGCCTTATACTAGTATAGTAGGTGTTCTGTGGGACCCAGTGGTGTGGTCTCCTTGATCTACTGAGCTTGATGCTCTAGGAATGTCTGTTGTGTGGCTTATATGGGTCTTCCTATTGTAATTGGGTCTTGATTGCTGTTGGCCCATTCATGGGTAGGATCAACCCTTAGGCTGGCTGACTTGAGGCATAACTCCTACCATATTGTGCAAGCTGTTGTGCAGGTGCTGACAAAACAATACAAAACAAAACAAAATGAAACAAAAAATCTCCACCACTAACAAAAAAAATAACAACAAAACAAATACGAAAAGAAAAATGAAATAGAGAATAATAAAAGAATACAGGAAAAAAGAATATCAAAGGAAAGAAAGAAAAGTAAATACTAGGAAAAGAAAAATGGGAAAAAGATTAAGAAAAGAAAAAAGAGTATAGATTGAGAAAAGGAAAGAGATAAAGAAATATAAAAGAAAAATAGGAAATAAGTAATACAGGAAACGAAAAAGATAAAGAAGAAAAATGTGGCGTTTGTAATGTTTAGTGCCTGCTACACTTTCTCTTTGGATAAGCTGTTTGTGAAGCTTGTTGGACTCTGCTCCAATGTTGTCTGAAGCTGGCCACTTGGGGTTGGTTTCAGGTCTTTTGGGGGTTTTGTGGTGTAAGTCAGATTCAGTTGCTTTCTTTGCCTGGCCCTTGGCAACCTGTTGGAAGCTACAAGCGATCCACAGTTTGTGGCTGTCTCTGCTGGGCCTAGTTGCATATGGGAAGGACCTGATATGTTGTATTTTCAATGAAATTTATTTCAAAATACCCAATAATTTTCTTGTGATTTATAATGGGTTATTTAGAAGTGTGTTAATTTTCAGGTTTTTGAAGGAATTTCTAGATTTCTTTCATTGATTATTAATATGTTTCTTCTGTGCTTAGAGAAGATACTTTTTGTTAAGTTTTTAAAACTTAAGACTTGTTTAATGGCTCAGAATATTGTCCATCTTTAAATGTTCTGTGTACACTTGAAAAAATGCCTAATCAGCACCTATTAGTAGCATTTTTTCAGAAATATTAATTAGACACAGTTGATTGCTATATTGATCAAGTCTTCTAATATTTACTGATTTTATTTCTACTTATTTTATCACTTAGAGAGGAGTGTTGAAATCTCTAGGTATGGTTATAGATGCATATATGTTTAGAATTGTTGTGTTGGCTTGATATATTGATTTCTTTATCATTATGAAATTTCTCCTTCATTCTAGTAATATTGTTTGATCTGAAATCTAACTTTTCTAATACTAATACAGTCACTTCAGCTTTCTTTTGATTAGTGTTTGTATGTGTAACTTTTTCAGCTCTTTATTTTTATGGTTTTTTTGTTTTCATAGTCAAAATGAATCCTTTTCATATCTTTGACATCTCTCATCATCATGGTTATTTTTTTCTCCTACCTTCTTATTCAGTCTAATTATTTCTGCTTTTTAATTTGGTTGTTTAGGTCATCTGTATTTAATGTTCTTTTTAAGATGGTTGGGTTTAAATATATCATTTTGCTATTTGTTTTCCATTTTTTCCTATTTAGTGTTAGGTTTGAAGTTTTTTGGTTCCCTTCCCCCCTCCCCCCCCTTTAAATGATTTCATTTTATGCCAACTCTTGGTTTCCCAAGAGTATATTTTTGCTAATTATTTAATCATTTTATTGTTCTAGGGCAGGGGTCCTCAAACTACGGCCCGCGGGCCACATGCAGCCCGCCGAAAACATTTATCCGGCCCGCCGGGTGTTTTTGCCTGTCCTGCTTAGCAGCCGACTTGTCCCGGGCTCGCAGTGTGCATGTGTGGAATGTCTGAGGGACAGTGAACTGGCCCCCTGTTTAAAAAGTTTGAGGATCTCTGTTCTAGGGTTTACTATATATATTTTGAATTTATTAGCCTACTTTTAAATAATATTCTATTTCATATATAGTGTAAGAACTTTACAGCATTATATTTTCATTTCCTCTCTTACCATTTGTGGTACTGATATGATTTAGTTTACTTCTATATTTTCTATAAAGTTCACAATGTTTGTTATTACTTTTGCTTTATGTAGTCAGTTATCTTTACAATTTTTATATTTATTCATATATTTACCATTTCTGGCACTCCTGATTTTTTTTATGCAGATCCAAAAATCTTTCTGATTTTATTTCTCTTCTCCCTGAAGAACTTTCTTTAATATTTCTTTTAGTGTAGGTCTGCTGGCAAAGAGTACTCTCAGTTTTTGTTTGGAAAAATATCTTTATTTCCTTTTCAGGTTGAAAGTTATTTTCTCTGGGCAAAGAATTGTATGCTGCCATATTTTCTTGACCTTTCAGTTCTTTGAATATACCTCTCCATTGTTTTCTGGCTTACATGGTTTTTGACAAGTAGTTTGTTTTCATTCTTATTTTATTTCTTTTGCGTGTAATGTGTCCTTTTTTTCTGGCTTATTTAAACACTTTTTATCCATTTCCAACAATAGCATATGATATGCATTGGTAACTTCCTTATGTTTATATTACTTGGCTGTTTTTTAGATTTCTGGATCTCTGGGCTTACATTTTTTATGAAATTTAGACAATTTTCAATTATATTTCTTCAAACATTTTTCCACCCCCCTCCTTTTTTTCCTGTGCCTCCAATTACATCCATTTATTTTGAATAATTGCTATTTCAATTTTTTAACTTCATGTTTTTTTCATCTGCAGTGTTTAACAATCTATTGTTAACCTTATCCTATGTATTAGTTTTATTTTTTTAAAGATGTTTTTTGGAAGTTCCATTTGAATCTTTTTCAGATCTTATATCTCTCTCATTATTATGCTTATTTTTTCTACCTTCTTCAACATATGAAACCTTTATGATAGCTGTTTTCATATCCTTGTTTGTGAATTCCATCATCTCTTTCATTTCTATGTTTCTGTTGAATAATAGTCTCCTGATTATATTATAGGTCATATTGTCCTGATTTTCTTTATGCCTTTTACAATTTGATTGGATTAATATATTTTGTATTTTTGCTTGTTGGTTTCTGAATTTTGTGTTATTTCAAATAGGGTTGCATTTGGTTTTGTTTCTCAGTTATGTTACTTGGAATCAGTTGGGTTATTTTGAGGAGTATTTTTAAGATTTGTTAATGTGGATCCAAAATATTCTTTTGTCATAGGTCTAATTTAGCCCCATTACTAAGGAGATACCCTTCCAAAGATTCAGCTGAATGCTCTGTGTATTAGAAGGGTTATCCATTCTGAATGTTAGGTACACAAACTATTACCAACTGTGTGTGAGTGCCAGATGTTATTTCTCTACTCACATGGTCTTTCTTTTCCTGGCCTTATGTAGCTTTCTCTCATGTTTGTACATGTTAGTTCTCAGCCCAGACTTGAACAAATCTTTCTATCTCTGGAATTCTCACTCAGTATAGTCTCTTTCTCAAATTCCTGATGCTGCCAGTATTAGCTGCCTCTCAAACTTTTAGCTCGCTCCCCTCAAATCAGTGCGAGGCGAGTTTTGCTTGGGTTCTTCCACTATGTGCTGTGGCCTATGAACTGACTCCAGGTTGTAAATTGGGCAGTTTTAATGCTTATCTTGTTCGTTTCCTTCCTCTCAGGAATTATAATTCTGTGCTGCTTGTTATCCAGTATCTGAAAACTATTGTTTCATATATTTTGTTCAGGTTTTTATTTATTTTAGTTGGGAGGTTAAATCTGGTCTCTCTATCTCCATTTTGATTGGAAGCAGAATGCTATCTGAATACTGTAGTTTAAAGTTTTCTCTATCCTTTACCATACTTTACTTTGAAGTAACCACAGTGCAGAAGATTATGGATGCTGTAGGAGTGTGGTAGTGAAGATATCTGTGATTAAACTATTGGTGATATTTAGGAAATGAGCACTTTGTTTTTTACTTATTCTACTTTATACTTCACAAAGTATACTTTATAACTTTCTTCTCTTGTCATTAAATCTTGACATAAAATTCAATACATACTTGGAATATGCACTATGTTTTATGGTAGTTTCCTATTTCTTATACACGTCACTTCCTGCTCTTAGTAAACCTTGAGAAACTAGACATTTTCATTTCTGTATCCATAATAGATCATTGTACTCAGCAGCTATTAAAAAAAAAACACAGTTATGCCCTAACAGGTTTGGCTCAGTGGATAGAGTGTCGGCCTGCGGACTGAGGGGTCCCAGGTTCGATTACGGTCAAGGGCATGTACCTTGGTTGCGGGCACATCCCCCAGTAGGGGGTGTGCAGGAGGTTGCAGATTGATGTTTCTCTCTCATCGTTGTTTCTCACTCTCTATCCCTCTCCCTTCCTCTCTGTAAAAAATCAATAAAATATATTTTTAAAAAAACAGTTATTTTACCTTAATATGAAGAATTTTGGTGTATGGATTTTATGCTGTTTGGTTAATTAGAGGTCCTCATTATAATTATACTGTTTCCTATTCATTTTCTGAAATTAATCTAATCTGATTTTTCTTCAGATCTTATTCTTTCTGACTTGGTGACAGTCCCAAGGCGTTCCATCCTTGATATTATTATCCTTTTCATTGTATTGAAACTATAGAGCAGTGATTTTCAACTGATGTGCTGCAAGAAATTTTAAAACTTGCGATACCTGACTATTTAGTCAGGGGCATGATCTCTTTTCCCTTAGGTTGTCAAAACATGACAACAGCCAACACAACAATAGCTATCTGATGTTAATGAACCAAAATTGTACCTATATTTTTGTTGTCAGATTGGCAAAAAATATAATGTATTTTTTGGTGTGCCACAGAATTTTAGTAATTAGTTTATGAGATGAAAATGGTTGAATATCGCTGGTTTACAAGATAGCTACAGTTGCATTTGGATAGCTCCAATGCTTTGGTCTTTTTAGGCTCCATGCATATGGTGACAAATAGCACCAGTAACATCATCTCTAAAGGACAAGAAGTGTAGATATACTTACACAATTAAAATTCTTTCTCTTGGAAGCCCATCTTTTTTTCCATTTTTTTCTCTCTTCCTTCTGGAAATTATATGTGTTCTTCAAGGTTATGCAAGCTTTGACAGGTTGAGCTTTGCCACCCTATCTAAGGGAAAAGTCAGAACCTTACATAGAGCCATAGTGGGGGGAGAGGAGGAATTACCAATTTTTATGGTATTGTGTCAGGAAATTGAAAGCGTGGTGAAGAGCATGTGTGTAGATATATCTAAACATGTAGCTCTTACAGGCTGCTGAGTTTTTATTATATTCTTTTTATGTGTTTTAGAGACAATATAATACTGGTATAGGCCATAGCAAAAAAAAATATATATATATTTTTCCACTCATTTAAATTAATGGGTAGGTGTTTTATTTTTTTATTTTTTTTGTGATGCTGATGGTCAAGATAAGTTTTCTGTTAATATATGTAGTACCTATGTAGTTTTTGCATTTTCCCCTAGGCAATGCTGTGTGCTAGACTGTATTTGACTCTGGTTTCATTTGGTTTTCTTTTTTGTAGCCTCTTTATCTTTTTATAATGTACCCAGCTCAGCTTCTAGCGTTCCAGTGCAACTATATGCCACCCCTCTCCTCCCTTTTCCTTTTGTCTGTCTCTTGAGTAGTATTCCTTTCTTTATATTTATTACTTCCTCTTTTGAAGCTTATCTTGTGAAATAATACTATTTCGGTAGGGAATTATTAAGTGATTTCATAGAGTATCTTTATATATTAATGATGCTGCTACTGAGAGTGGG